CAGTGGCCGGGAGTGGCCACTGCACTCCAGTCTGGGCGACAGAGTGAGACTCCAACTCAAAAAAAAATAAAAGAAACCCCACAAAGCACCTAAGATATCAACTAAGCAAGAAATATAAAAAGGAATAACAATCCATTTGATTAAAAAAAATAGTATTCTTCTAAAGAGAAGGAGAAATACAGTTTACTAGAAATTTCAACTTTCTCTAGTTGCACTTTTCTAAATAAAATATAACTTTATTTCCTCACGGGCCAGAGAAACTTAAGTAGACTGAAGATGTGAAGACACATGGGAAGTGTTTTTAGGTCAAGCCAAAAGCACCTCTCAGTTTTGTATGTTTACATGAACTTTCATCCAGAGAGTTGTTCTGTCAGCTCATCTCATGAATTGAATCAGGGCCAGCCGGTTTCCCTGTATGTAGACAAGCTCTGCAACTCAGAGTATTCTTGCCAGTATAAAGTACTGACTATACTAAAGATAAAATGACCTTCCAACAAATCACCTAAATGAATCCATTTCTCAGGTGGGCATGGTAGCTGGAGCCTATAATCCCAGTTACTGAGGAGGCTGAGATGGGAGCACCACTTGAGCCCAAGAGTTCGAGACCAAGCCTGGACATCAATGCAAGACCCTCAATCTCTAAATAAATAAGTATACAGAGTCACAATTTTTTTTTTGAGTTGGAGTCTCACTCTGTCACCCAGGCTGGAGTGCAGTGGCACACTCATGGCCACCACAGCCTCAACCTGCTGGGTCCAGGCGATCTTTCCGCCTCAGCCTTCCAACTAGCGGGAACTACAGGCATGCGCCACCACGCCCGCTAAGTTTTATTTATTTTTTAATTGTAGAGATGAGGTCCCTCCAAGTTGCTCAGGCTAGTCTTGAACCCATGGGCTCAGGCAATCCTCTCATCTCAGTCTCCCAAAGTGCTGGGATTATAGGCATGAGCTATTACGCCCAGCTGAGTCACAAATTTTTAAAAAAACCTATTTCTCAGTAAGCCACACAAGGAAGGTCTTCTTTCATTTAACAAAAGACAGGGTGAGCTTTTTACAATGAGTGGGAAGAGGGGGGTCAGACACAGAAGACAAAAACAATTACCCTCATAATGAACCTTTGCCTAGTCTAAATAATTATATTGTCCACTGTAGATGAGGGAACAAGGAACATGCACAGTAAAGGTACAAAATTTCAAGTTAGATCGTCTAGCATAATTTCATGATCTACAATATTGCAAAATACAGCAGTTCTACCAACATTCTAATGAAAAAGAGACAACATGCACTCTAAAATAAAAAAATATATCTGTTGATTACCCATAATAATCTTTAGATGGAAGATGAAGAACTGACTTCAATGCCAGAAAGTGAGCAAAGAAATATCTTACCTTGTTTAATTTTGAGCAACATGATCTAGCATTAATGTAATCACATTCTAAATCAGACAATGTAATTATCTGATAATCAAGATAAGGAATTATGCTTATTTTATAAGAAGTATTTAAGTTGGGGTGGGGGGGACAAAAAAAACCAAGTATTTAAGTTTCAGAATGCAATTCCAGTTGCAAGGCAGAATTAGATTTGACTTGAAAAAAATTTAGTTATTTCCTAAAATTCGCTCATTAGACAATCTGATTTTCTCACTTATGTTCCTTCAACAAGTTATTTCCACAAAATAATCCTATTATGCACAAATCTAATCTGACCTATACCAGATCACTTAGTCTGAGTTACTCAAATGTGGAACAATGGCTATAAAGAATGGAAAATATCTCAACACTTTGGGAGGCCGAGATAGGAGGACTGCTTAAGGCCAGGAGTTCAAGACCAGCCTGAACAACATAACAACACCTCATCTCTACAAAGAAAAAAAGAAAAAAAATTAGCTGGGCATGGTGGTGCATGCCTATAGTCCTAACTGCTAGGGAGGCTCAAGATGGAAGACTGCTTGACCTCAGGAGTTCAAGGTTACAGTGAGCAATGATCATACCATTGCACTCCAGCTTGGGTGAGAATGAGACCATATTTCAAAAAGAAGAAAAGAAAAATAGATATTAAAACATTTTAAAAGTTAAAAATCTGAATTTGCAATAATAGAAAAATAGTGTTTATTTTATGATATATACAATAAAGTTTCTTTGAAGACTCAATACGTGAATAAAGAACAAAGAATACAAAACTATAACTACACCATGGTCACATGCTGGCAGTGGTTGCTGAACTACAGATTATTTTTTTCCCTGAATATTTTTTCTAGTTCCAAACTCCCCACAATAAGCATACATTATATTGGAATCAGGTGGAAAATGTTCCTTAGTACAAAGTATAAACTCACAAATAAAATCTGAGGGATAAATATCTGTCGGGGGATGGGAAAACACTTCTTATCTACAGGGTGCCTGAATGAAACGTCATTGTACACCTAACCCTTAACTGTACCCCACAAAACCATAATAAAAAATACTGATTAATGAAAAATAAATAAATAAATAAAAAATGCCAAAAAAAAAAAAAAAAATCTGAGGGATAGATATAAAGGGAAAAGTCCTCAGTTTTACGACACCATGTCTGGGATTCACTGTAAAATGCCCTACCATCCTCCACTCCTTCAGTAGAAGAAGAGATAAAAGAGAATGACACATGTTGAAAATTACTAAAGGTTATCCCTGAGGGATTTATTACACTGCCCTACATTTATATTTGAATGTCCACTAAAACAAGTAAAAAGAAACATGCTCAACCAAGTACTAACATTTCCATATGGTTACTTTCCTATCACCAAAACACATCTAACATCGAACTCATCACTTTATTCCTCCTCCAGTTTGTTTTGTCATTGACACAAGCATCACTTGTCCAGGTTCAAAATTAGAAAGCTATCTCTGCTTTCTCTTTCATATATCATAATCAATCATTCCCAATCATTTCTTCTTCCTAATACCACTCACATATTCCCTTTCACCTGCCACTACACTCTGATGAATCTATCTTCTGATGATTTATCTTCCAATCTTTCCTGTTTCCAATTCGTACTAGAGATTTATCTTCCTAATAAACTGCTTGTATTGAAATTTTTCAATGGCTCCCTATAGCCTGCAGGATAAAAGTGAAAGCTCTCCTCCACCCATCTCCAAATTCAAGCCCTCCAAAATTTGATCTAATCCTGCCTTTCCAACCTGACGTTCTATTACCGCCATAGAACCATGTGCTGCAGATGGTCTATTCATTAACTGTCACCCAGAAATGCATGAACATACCTGTCTCTGCATTTTTACTCTTGCCAATATCTGATGTTGAATATTCACCCCTTTCCCTTTCTGTCCAGAGTTCAAAGTCTAGGAACAGTTTTATATGCTACATTAAATCTACTCTGATCATTTTCCACCTCTTGTCTCTAATACTCAGTGCAATCATCTTAAGATACAGAAATGCAATATGCTGAATTTCATCAAAACACACCCTGAATATATTATGTAATGTCTATCAAGTCAAACATTTCTCTATATACGTAAACTGCTGTAAGTCAAGGCTATTTTAAATCATCAAGACTAGTTTTGCAAACGGCAAAAAGAAAAAACCCAGTTTCATTTCTGAATGCAAGCTCTGGTTCCTTGTATCAGAAGAAGGGCAAAGGTCATCAAAACTTAGGCAAGTGACTGCCTCCTAGCCCGGCTCCATGGCTCAGCCTGTAATCCCGTGCTTTGGGAGGCTGAGGTGAGTGGACTGCCTGAGCCCAGAGGTTCGAGACCGGCCTGGGCACCTTGGCAAAACTTCCTCTCTACCACAAATAAAAAAATTGGCTGGTGCACCCGTGGTTCCAGCTACTTGGAAGGCTGAGGTGGAAGGATTGACTGAGCCCAGCAGGTCAGGCTGTGGTGGCCGAGAGTGTGCCACCGCACTGCAGTCTGGTTGACAGAATGAGACTCCGACTCAATAAATAAATACATACATAAATAAAAACTGCTGCTCAATTTGGGAGAGGGGGGATAAGATGGCAGAGCAATATTTACTAAACATTAGCCGTGCTAAGGTGCTTTAACACACGTTCTCACTGTGCTCATTTGGGGAAAATATTTTCCATTTTAAAGATAAGAAAACTGAGGCTTAGTGAGATGAAGTAATATGCATCACAAAGAACTCGATGAGCAAGGAGAACCTGATTCCACATTTTGTCCCTTTCCAGTACAAGAGGCTGCCTGTCCACAACAAAGGATGAAGCGGCACTGAGCACATACTGGGCACACCTACCTAAAGCCAGCACGCTCTCGCAAACGGGTTTAATTCGATCAGAAAGGGGTACGCGCAATTTCCAATGAAATAAGACACAGTGGCGAGTTCCTCAAGCGTTTTTTCTACCTTACACCTAATTACTTAAAACTGGATTGCGCAATACAACGAGCAACAACTGAGACCCGATGCTCCCCCTCAAGAGCAGGGAAGAGTTGGAGCCGACCTGGCCACCACAGCGGTAAGTTCAACAACCATTTGATTGGTCTGGAAAACACCGTCTGAGTCACGAACAGCTACACAAAATACTAAAGTTTTAACAGGGGACGACAGACAAAATTTAAAGCTGAAAAACGCCTGGGAACTCAATCACGTATAGTTATGGAATTTACAGATCTGCAACGCGCCAAGGGCAAGCAAAACAGTCACTTTGCGGATAGATTTAAAAATAACTCCTGCCCAACACTCACTACACAACGGCATCGCGAAGGAGGCACTTTGCCCGCGTCTGGAATGAGTCGACTCCGCACGCGAAAGGTCCCTGCCAGTGTCGACACCCGCGAGAACAAAGGGGCGGGCGGCGGGGCTGTCGCCGGAGGAACCGGGGCGCAGATCGCCCTGGCCAGTCCCAGCGCCCCACTGTCCCGGCCTCCGACGACGGGCATGGCGTGGAGGCTCTCTCGCCAAAACGGCGTCCCCTCTCCCGAGCGCCGCAAGGGAGGCCGAGGGGGACCGTCGCCCGGG